GTTGAAGCAGATGTGCCTAACAACCAGGCCAATAGATATGGTGATGGCCTTGGAGGAAACATCCTGTTTTTGCCACATACCTCATGCACAATGATTACTTGTTGGATGAAAGGCTGCTTACAAAGGACGACACACTGTGAGCCAGCTGGAGCTGCTGCTATCAACACAAGGACAAACAGCGTGGCGGGAGTACTAGGGCTAGATTATCCCTGACAGATGGTGCATCTGAGACTCTCTCTTTTTGGTAAAAATAAAGCTAACAGCACAGAAGCAGCAGTGTTTCAATATCATAACCTCCCAGAGAGGAATTTCCTCCCATATAAAAGTGTGCAAGCTGTTTTAATAAGTTCTTATTCCATACATCCTTAAAATGTGAATAGGGATCAATTCAGCTAGCAACAAAATGCTCCAGCACAAAGGCACAGCAGATAGTTAATGCACAGCAATGCTGTGTAACAGGTCAGAAGAGGAAGTGAAGAATAATTTGTCATGTTGAATACATAGGGAGAGTTAGAACAATTGCAAATAAAGCAAATATTCAGACTCACAAAGTGGAACTCACAAAGTGACCTTTCAATAATGAAACAGCTAGGTTTGTAAGCTTCACACCTCAGACTCTTGCAGAGCACAGTAGTGACAGCGACTGGATGGCATGGAGGACAGAGTCCACTATGCAATCACTAGCACCACATTTTTCTCAAGCGACTCCTCATCCAAGCTGTGACCAGGCATGCACCTGCCCACTTTGAGATCTGACCCCCTCCCCTCCCGCGAGTGATATGGTTCATAAACTGTCCAGACATCTTTACATGTTGCCTTTCTTCCACCAGCGGATGGACAGGGTCTGTGATGGAGACTACAATGGTGCATACCACATTGGGACTGACCACTACAGAGAAATTGAATGGGAATCTGCATCCCAAACTCACTGATTGAAAAGACGTTCACCTCTTCTTTGGAAATTCTGCAGTGCTCCAGCAGCAAAGCTCCAATTGGCTAGAAAAAGACCCAAAGAGAAGGTTTAACATACCTTTTCCCATTGTCAACTCCATAACACACAATGGACACTACAAAGAGTATGTGGGAGACATCAACCAACTCATACGACAGAAAGAAGACAATGCAGAAACTAGGATTTCTAAGGTGGTTTAGGGCATTTATGCTACTTAGATACTCGCAGGGATTTTGATGGTGTCTATTTTCACCATTTCCCCCTGACATGGTCTTCTATGCACAGAATTTTCATAATAATGAAAAAATATATTTTTAGAGATAGGAGAAAGCAACTGTAAAACCAAAGACATCATCAGATGTCCTTTAGATTAGGCATCTAACCTGAAACTGCTTTTAGTTCATTTATTTTACACCTAATGGAGGGTGTCTGCAGATACCCAGTTTCTCTGTTTCTGCAATCAAACTTCATTATACTGTAAGAACATAAGAACTGCCAAGTACTCGGTCAGACCATAGGTCCATCTTGCCTAGTCTCCTGTGTCACACACTGGCCAAGAGTGGATGCTGAAAGGGAGGGTGAAGTGGGTGTTTTTCCACTGTTCCTCTCTCACTTGCAGCCTCCAGCATTTAAGGTCTAGGAAGTTCTAATTCAAAGGCTGTCCCCCTAATTCCTGTGTTCAGTAGCTACTGATGCCCCTTCCCTCCAAGAATCTGTCCAATCCATTTGAATCTGACTAAACTGTCAGCTTCCACATCTGGTAGCGACAAGCTCCAAGCTTTAATAACAAGCTGTGTGTGAAAACGTTGTTTTGTTAGTTTCAAACTTACTACCCACTAGTTTCATTTTGTGACTCCTAGTTCTTGTACTGAGAGAGAGTAAATAATAAATCCCTACCTACTTTCCCTTTGCTGTTTAGTATTTTGGAAACCTTTACCATGTCCCTAGTCAAGCATCTCTTTTCTAAAACGAACAGGCCTAGACTCTGCAGTCTCTCCTCATATGGAAGCCTCTCCATACCACTAATCATCCTTGTTGTCTTTGTACCTTCTCTAATTCTTCTATATCCTTTTTCAGGTGTGAGGACAAAGAACTGGGCACAGCATTCGAGGTGTGGATGCACAATGGATTTTTGAAGGGGCGTAATGATACTTTGAGTTTTGATCAAGTTTGTCTCCTCCCGGACTAATGTTTGCACAAGGCGTTCGCTGCTCTTTGCTCAGTGTCATTAAAGGGATTTTATATAAATATCAGTGCCAAGGGTAAAAGCTTATTTTTTTGTTCTACAAAATCAAATCTGACAAGCAAGTGTGGTCAGGACAATGTGAGCTCCAATTCACTTTTTTTAAAGAAAAGTGTGTCAGTACATTAAAATAAACCTGCATAAACACACACAGGTTCCACTGTTGTGTCTAGAGCCCAAATACTGGTGCACTACGCTAGAGAAGAAGTAGAGCGTGAAAATATGCACAAGCAAGAAATAGAATTATTATTTTTTCTATCTGCATTTTACTCAGCTTAGAAAAAGACAGCAAATGGAAAATTTTAAAACTAAAATATCATTTGTAACATGGCAAAGAGCACCCTTTGAGCAAACACTACCCTTTAATTCAAAATGTTTGCTGGTTTATTTATGTGTTCTCCATCCATCTGCAGTAACATACAGAAATGTTAAAGATATCTAAAATGACTTGCTCAAGGCCATGTGTCAAGTCAGTGTCAGAGCCATGAGCAGGACACAGGAGCCCCATCTCCCATTCCCCTGCTCTACCCCTTCTGCTTGCAAAGGGAGGAATAGTAACAAAATGTGGATACCTATGTGATTTCCTATTAAAAACTTAGTCTTGCCTATATAACCAATGATGTACTTAAGAAAAATGACCAGGACTTCAGATTATGAAAGGACTCCCAATTCTACTGATAGGGAAGGAGATTACAATAGCCATCCCTCTCAGTTTCCATAAATTAACTGATTTCCAACATGTAAACACTGAAGTCCCCAAGTCTCTGCGACAGTGAAATATATTTAAGACACGGGTGTCAAATTCATTTGGTCCCTTGGGCTGGATCCAGACGAAAGGGCTTCTCAGAGGCCAGATTCACAGGTTCATAGATTGTCAGGGGCTGGAAGGGACGTCGCAGATCATCGGGTCCAACCTGCTCACATGCTAGGCAGTAAAACAACTGGGGTCAAGCGACCCCAGCGAGGTGACTGCCTAGTCTCCTCTTGAAAACCTCCAGCGTAGGTGACTGCACCACCTCTGGAGGGAGTTTATTCCACAGTCTAGACACCCTGATGGAGAAGGAGTTTTTCCTGGTATTAAGCCTGAAGCACCCTTCCAGGAGTTTGTATCCATTGGTCCTGGTCTTTCCCGAGGGTGCCCCAGTGAATGGTTGTTCACCGAGCAACTCATGCACTCCTCTGATATAGCAGTAAGCTGCTACCAAGTCCCCTCTCTACCGTCTCTTCTTTAAGCTAAAGAGGCCCAGGTCCCTCAGCCTTTCCTCGTATGGCTTGCCTCGCAAGTCCCTGATCACACGGGAGGCTCTTCTCTGGGCCCTCTCTAGTTTCTCCACGTCCTTATTGAAGTGCGGCGCCCAGAACCGGACGCAGTACTCCAGCTGCGGTCTCACTAGTGCTGAGCACAGCGGGACTCCCACTTCCTTAGCTTTACACGAGATGCATCGGTTGATGCGTGCCAGCGTGACATTTGCCCCGCTGACCACCGCCTCGCGCTGACGGCTCATAGTCATGTGATGGTCAGTCATTACCCCTAGGTCCCTTTCGGTGCAAGTCAAGCTGTCACCATTACCCATCTCTGGCAGCGGGGCATGTGGTGACAGTGTTAAACCCCCACTGCTCTCCCCACCACCAAGTTTCTGGCTCCACAGACTGCATAACCCACCTCTGCAGGCTGGATGCCACCCATGGGCCAAACATTTGACATTCCTGATTTGCCCTTGGACCACGACACCTAAAATATGTTGGCCAAGGTTAGAAGGCACAGCAGTTGCTTTTTTTGGCCTAAGTATTTTCACTGCGTTTGTCAAATGCTACAAAGGGTATTACAACCAGGGTTATAGCAGGTCTGTCACCCCACCACACTACACACGACCTGCAGCACCAAACGTTTCCTGTACCTCCGCCTCATCGGTTCGGAAGTAGAAGAGAAAGTTGACGACCAGCTTCACAAGGCGTTTCTTCAGCACTGGAGAGAAAAAAAAAAAAGAGAGAGAAAGACCGTTCAGAAGCTGGTTTGTGGGATGAAGAGCAGGAGCCATCTTGTCAACACGAGGGGCGTTTCATAGATGTTAGGGTCCGAACGGACCCATTACATCATCGAGTCCAACCCCTGCCCCGGGCAGGAAAGAGCGCTGGGGTCACACGACCCCGGGCAGGTGCGGGAGGAGGCACAGTCCACGCGTGGCAGGACAAGGAACAGGCCCCTCCGGCCTGCCTCCACTTCACAGACCAAATGGATTTGTTCGTCCCTTCCCACGTGTCAGGGACCTCCCAGCGCGACCCGATCTCACAGGACCCCGCGGCGGTGGCGCCGGTCCGTGGCAGAGGAATCAGGGGACCGTCTTATAACTGCCCCGCAAGAGGCTCTCCAAGCCCGACCCCACCTCCCAAACCCCCTCGCGGCCAGGGGAAGGGGACACCAGCTCCCCACCCCCGCTTCCAGCCAGGCTCGCCCGCGGCCCCCAGACCACAGCTGCCAGGGGCCGGCAACGG